GCATAAAACCCGTTCTTGGCGACGCAAGACATCTTTGGCTGTGAAAAATGTGACATGACTTTCGTATTCATAGCGTGCGATTCTCGAAAATTGGAGCATACTTGACGTATTCATTAGTATTCGAAGACGTTCACGTCAGAAGTGGCGTCGTACATCTCGTGTTCCAGTCGCAAACTCTCGAACGACTGAGAGTATTCGAAAATGTTCGAGTCATAAATGATCGCTATATCTTCGAAGAACATCTAATGCAACATTAATCTACCAAATCGTGGCCCGTATGATTTATCGAACACTTCGAGTCATTCACGAGTATTAAATTTGAATACGGGAAAACAGGCCGGATTCCTATAGAATATTCCAGGTGTATTTCGAGTCAGCCGCAATCGAATACGTCAGAACATTGAGGCATACGCGGCGTGCGCCGATCCGTATTCGAGCGAATTCGGGCCCGAATATTTGGCTTTTCGCGCAGTGTTCAGCCCTGACTCGGATTAGGCGTTCTTGTACAAATGTTCATGAAACATAGTATAATATAAGCTACTGTGCTATCCATTACCGCGAAGAATAATTGGAAAAACAGCAATCAAATGTTTATTTTTACAAGTACACGCAGCGCCTAGGGGCTACAAAGCTCGTTAAAGAACGTATGTGTACAAATAAACAGAACAAAACTATCATTGGAGCTTGACAAATAACACAAATGTATACAAAAGATTTTAAAACTGACGTTCAGCCAAAAACTGAGTGAGTGACAGCAAGCAATCCAAACATAGTATACTTCGTAGGTAAACACTGGTTTGACATTTTCCTATAACAACACTTATTTCTGACAAGAGTTGTTTGTCTTCTACATACGGTAAAATAAATTTACAAACTGTCTTCGCATGTGGCACGCTTTCAACACGAATTGATAATTTAAATACAACAGAACAAAACATGAAAACTAGGGTCATTGGTATCTTCGAATGCACTAGTGAAAAGACAAAAGAAATCCAGTCTGTCATTATACCAGACTACTTTCCAGATTGCAGTGAATCCTGCATGGCTACTTGTCCATGAATTCTTAATCCGTGATCTATAAGCCACTGCCTTTCACTATGCAAATACTGTATTTTCTGATCAGCGAAACCCGGTCAGACGGTCACGACAAAATAAAACTAGGCTAGGTTATTCAACAGAATTAAACAATTTTCATTGTGTTTCATTCCGTCTTTTGAGACGGAATGGCAAAACGACGAAATGTTTGAATAGCGCTCCGGTTAGCCTAATTAGGGAGCTTAAGAAACCACGAGGACGACGCCGAGGATAACGTCTGTTAAAAAATGGGTTTATATTTTACTTACGAATCTCGTGATACTCCAACGCAATTTACTTTGTTTACCACTGTCAAAACTATCGCGAAACTGAATCTAGAACACATCGAAAAAGTAAAATGAAAAAGTAACACTAGGCTAGGTTATTCAACAGAATCAAAAAACATAAAGGCCTTATTCTACAACATCACCAGTTGAAACAGTCTTAGAGACACGTCCGGTATTAGCAGAACCTAGCCACGAAACGTATTAATAAATGCAAACAAGACAACTGCAGCTTGAAGAGGCAGCAACTTGCTAGCTTCGCTTGGTACAGTTATCGCGTCAGTTGTATTTGTTTGGGTGGACTTGGTCGGCTCGGTGTGGTTTCCTGTCGTTGGTGGCTGACTTGTAACGTTTGGATTCGTTTGGTACAGTGTAACCATTGTGCCGTGTACCGTCATCCCAACCTGTTTACAAGTTGTTCCTGCCACTATCGATATATTGTAACTCGCGAGAACTGTTAGTTCGAAGGTCTGAGTTTTGTTATCCTGTATATCAAATTTCCCGTCAATTTTGGTAGGAAATGTCATCAAAAATCCACCGTTTTGCCGGAAAGTGTAGATAAATTTAATCAAGTTGCCATCAATTCCTTGTTGCAGCGTTTTCTCCACTGGAGTTTCTCCCTGACACAAGCTTCCGCCAGCATCCAGTAGTTTTTCTTCCTCATAGGAGATCCTCGCAGCTTTGTCCTTTCGAAAGGCGATGTAATACCGGTACAAAGGATATCCTTCCCGATACACTGAAGCATTGCTTAGCGTGTAGTTGTTCACCAAGTGACCAGAAACTGCCTTTATGTGCGTGCCTGCGACTGAACCCAGTTGAGTTTCGCTGACACTAACCGGGGAATCCCATGAAACAGCCGAAGCTGATACTCCTCCCAACACAAAAATGATGGAAAGAGAAAACACAGTAGCGACTCGCATGATTCGAAATGTTGTTGAAGACAAGCAAACTTCCAAGTTTGTCTTTTTTCCCCCGATTACAAGTGATTTCCCTTGTAAAAGTAAATAGCTTTAAGTATGCTGATATATTGAAAGAATGACGTCAGTCAGGCGAAACTTCCGGTTGTCTGTTTAAGTTCTAATTAGTAGACTGCAGGATATTATCTTTATAACGTACAACATCACGTACGGCCATAAGAAGGAGAATAAAAAGAGCCGTTAGCTTTAACGTTTTCGCCAAAAAGTCGGCAGGCTAGTGACATGTGCCAAGGAAGAGGACTTCTTAACAAAGAGGCAAATTTTCAGACACCTATTTACAAGATGCGGCAAGATGTGGCTTGCTTGCAATCTACCAATGTGGGCGTTTGTTTTTATTTCTGTAATCAGCTTTAAGAGAATTTTGCATTTATTCCACCAATAGAGTTTACTTCACACTCACCGGATTTCTTGGCACTTTAGTGTGAGAGAATTAATCCGCGCGATTATTCAGTTACGAATTGTCCGAATGCACTTTGGAAGTTGGAAATGCCTTCAGGAAGCTCTTCTCTGCTGGACCTTGCGCAACTAGTGTTCTAGCAGCTTCCGTCGCTGACAGGACGTGGATGGCGACCGAAAGGATTAAACATAACTTGGAAAAAAAATAAACGTTAGTACCGGATTTCTGACCTCCGTGGCCCGGCTTCCAGCCCGAAATTCACATAAGCATTTTCTCTTTATTAGAAGGTATTTCAATATGGACATTTTGTCGTAAATGCAGGTTAAAACGACAGCTTGCCGACTCGATGGTAGCCTGTGAACGCAGACGTATTTCTGGCTGTCACTTGGTTCCGCCGTTTTTTTCAGTGAAGGTGCGCCAAAACATATCCTGCGGAAGGGGTATATTCTCCCTACCCTCCAACGCAGACGTTCTTTCTCTTCTTATGCTCAACCCTGAAAAGACAAAGCTCATGGTCTTTGGCAGCCGCCCGATGATCAAGCTTTCGCTGCTCGGAAAGGAACTAGTGCCATCAGAGTCCATCAAAGATCTCGGTGTAACTTTTGACCGTACTCTGTCATTTGACAATCACATCTCAGTGACAGTTTCATCTTGCGNACGACAGCTTGCCGACTCGATGGTAGCCTGTGAACGCAGACGTATTTCTGGCTGTCACTTGGTTCCGCCGCTTTTTTCAGTGAGGGTGCGCCAAAACATATCCTGCGGAAGGGACATATTCTCCCTACCCTCCAACGCAGACGTTCTTTCTTTTCTTCTGCTCAACCCTGAAAAGACAAAGCTCATGGTCTTTGGCAGCCGCCCAATGATCCGCCGCCCGATGATCAAGCTTTCGCTGCTCGGAAGGAACTAGTGCTATCAGAGTCCATCAAAGACCTCGGTGTAACTTTTGAGCGTACTCTGTCATTTGACAATCACATCTCAGTGACAGTTTCATCTTGCGCGAGTAAATTAACTAACATTAATTAATCGAGCAAAGCACGCATTTAACCCTGACCTATAAGTGACCATCATAACTGCTCACTAACGCCTCTACCCGTAATTTGCAAAAAATATAACTCGTCCAGAACTTCGCGGCTCGGATAATTATTGGTGCAAGGAAATTTTGAACACATAACTCCATCACTCAAAAACTTGGGGGTAGCTCCCCGTTAAAAAAGCAGTTTTATCTCCGCGAAGCTATGACGGCTATCTTCGCATTGAAGTGCATGACGGGCTGCGCCCCGACTCACCTGACGTCAAAGTTTGTAACAAAGAGGACAGATATCTGACCGCAAA